AGATGGATGTTAAGACTGTATTTCTCAATGGACATTGATGAGATGATTTATATGGTGCAACCAGAAAACTTTGTGTCGGGAGACCCAAAGAATATGGTTTGCAAATTAAGAAAATTCATCTATGGACTCAAGCAAGCTCCTCGTCAATGGTATCACAAGTTTCAATAAATAATTATCTCGTTCGGTTTTGAGATGAACATTATTGATGACTTTGTATATCACAAGTTTAGTGGGAGTAAGTATATTTTTCTGGTTCTGTATGTCGATGACATATTGCTTGCCACTAATGATATAGGCATATTGCACGAAACCAAGAGATTTCTGTCAAAGAATTTTGAGATGAAAGATCTTGGAGACGCCTCTTTTATATTAAGAATCCAGATACATCGAGATCGCTCTCGAGGCATACTTGGATTATCACAAAAGAGCTATATCGATAAAGTACTTAAAAGGTTTGGCATGCAAAATTACAGACCAGGAGATACCCCTGTTGCTAAAGGAGATAAGTTTAGTCTCAATCAGTGCCCTAAAGGTAACATTAAAATTCAGAAAATGCAGAAGATTTCTTATGCTTCGGCTGTAGGAAGTCTAATGTATGCTCAGGTATGTACACGTCCGGATATTGCGTACATTGTTGGGATGTTAGGCAGATACTTAAGCAACCCTGGTATGGATCATTGGATAGCAGTCAAAAGGGTTATGAGGTATCTTCAGAAAATAAAAGATTATATGCTCATATATAGTAAATCAGATCAGTTGGAGGTCATTGGGTACTCTGATTCTGATTTTACTAGATGCCAAGATAGCAGAAAGTTTACATCAGGCTACATTTATATGTTAGCAGGAGGAGCTATATCATGGAAAAGTATTAAACAGATACTCGTAACTTCCTCCACTATGGCAGCAGAATTTGTAGCTTGCTATGAGGCATCCAATCAGGGAATATGGCTGTGAAATTTTGTCACGGGACTGCGTATTTTAAAAAATATTGAAAGACCACTAATGTTATATTGTGACAATAAATCTGCAGTAATGTATTCCAATAACAACAGGAGCTCAACTAAGTCAAAACATATTGACATTAAGTTCCTTGTTGTGAAAGAAATGGTACAGAGTGGACAGATATCTATAGAGCACATTGGGACAAACTCCATGATAGCTGATCCTCTTACTAAGGGACTGCCACCTAAGGTCTTTCATGAGCATACTGCTCATATGGGTGTGGTATTATTTGAGGATATTGTGGTGTTTTATGTTTGGTTGTATTGTCTGATTAGAATAAAGTATTCAGTTAAGACACTCTGTTACATTAATTTGGTTTTGACCTCACTAAAGGAGGACCAGTTGAAAATAGACATGTACTGATCACATTGCATGTAATTTTCATGCTGCACATCCATGTTTGATCTATGTCGTTTGATTGTATTGGTATATGTGACCATTGATGGGTTTAGTGGCGATAAATGTGACGAATGCCGCTTTGATCCTATATTGATATAGTCAATGGACGAGATTGTTCAAAAATACCTTTACAGTGATAGCAGTTTTGAGCTCATAAGGTTATACACACTTTAAGGAGTCATATGGTGCCCAAGTGGGAGATTGTTGGATTTAAATCTAATTAAATCTATAAGGAGTCATATGGTGCCCAAGTGGGAGATTGTTGGATTTAAATCTAATTAAATCTATTTGTGGGCACATGTGATTAATCTGTGTGTATTGCTATCCTTCAAGATAACCCACTAAATGGTCAATTAATTTGGGTTAATGAGTATTTAAATAAATCATAGGGTTATATGTGCAGATACCAGGTTGTAATTGTGATTTGATGAGGGGTCAAATTGTAAATGTACAACATCTATAAATAAGGGGTTATGATCCCTAATCTAGGGTTACACTCTCTAATTCTCTTCACCCCCATCTAGAGAGAAATTTGGCTAGAGAAACCCTAAGGTTAGAAGATCCAAAACTCATCTCAAGTTTCATCTATGGATTCAGGTATAAGCTTCCGCTCCTTTTGATTATTGTTAATCTCTTCGAATTAATCATGATTTTATGATTTAGATCTCAAGTTTTATTTAGATCTAACACAAAGCTCTACTAGCTAGGTGAATTTTGTTTAATTCAGTGAAAAGCAATTCACTGATTAAAGTATCAGACAGTCTAGAAGATGAAATAACTTGTCAATGAATTCAAGAGAACAGAAAAGTTTGCGACTTGACTTTTCTATATTTACCACTTTACTCATCTAGATCTTTTGACCCCAAAAAAGAACGAACAAATACTTTCAAGGCACATAACATCATATAGAAGACCAACTTTTGACAAAAAAGAATTTGACATTCATAAGTTTCTGATTTCATCATACTCGATACATTTTCTTATAAACTACAAGTAACATGCGCTGTGTCAGAGTACAATACAATAAACTCAAATGGTGTTTTACTTTGATGGCATGTTGTCTTGAAAGTCAATCTTAACCCTGAGTTTAGGTTTCCTACTACACAAATCCAGCTAAGCCTGTACACAGTTCAATATATCTGGGTTTGATTTGGTCCCGTATATTACCATATAGGTTTGTAATTGTCAAATTCCGACATGTTTATGTTACATCTTGTTTTGGCTAAATGTTTATTTTGAGGTTGTGAGATATTCAAGCTTCAGTTACACATTATGTACCTTTATGAAACTTGCGGCATAGTTTCCTTAAGCACTCAAAACTGCATTAACATGGGAGTTCCTTTTGTCACGAGCATGAAGCTTGAAAACTGGCCTATGGGAAGAAGATTGTAAGGTGTTTTAAATGATTGAACAAGAAGAAATGAGAAGGAAGAAAAAAGAGCAAACGGACCAGCAAGGAATAAATTGATGTGATTGATTTTCCCCTTATTTTCTTCGCCAGAAGTTCGAGAAATCTACAGTCAAGGTTCAAGTTATTATTCTTTTCCTTTCCAGTCCTTCCTCGTCAGGATTATCCATGTAGCAGTTTTAGAATAGAGGTCATGCTTTGAGAACAACAGGGATCATATGACATATTCAAGGTAATAGGCATAAACTCTTAGTATACCGTCTCTCTTATTCTCTGTGTCTCCTGTCCGGCTGGCTATCACCATAGAGAAGCCCATCCACATTGATTCCTCTCTGGTATCTCTCTCTAGTCTCTGTCTAAAATAATAATTTCTGTTACTGTGTGTTTCCCAGTAACATTTTCTATTCTATTTTTTTTGGGTAGGACTATATAAAAATGTGAGGTAATGAAACAATGAAATCTAGTTATCTTAGAGTTTATGATCATTGCTGAAAACAGAAAGGATCACATAACAGCTTAGCCTTGACCCTTCAATCTGTGCACCATCTCTTTGATTTTGTCTCCTCCAAAATACTTAAACGTGAAGCACCGTTCAAGGTCATTGTGGAGAAACGGATGGAGAGATGAGATTGATTAATGGTTTTCTGCTGTTTTGTGTTTTTCACTCTGGGGTTTTGTGTTGCAAGAGCTTATAGAGATATCACCAATTGTGGAATTGCATCGAACTCTCTCTATTATTTGGCTCACAATTTCATTTTGTTAAAATATAGCAATTTTTGTTAATTTCCGTAACTTACAATTCCAATGGTTAACATATGGTAATAGGATTTTATTGATAGAAGTTAGATGTCAGTTTATATTTCATTAAAGATAATATTATGTTATCTTTATAGCCATATAAGCAACTGGAAGTAGTAGTGTAGTACAATACTTTGACAAAGATAATATTATGTTATTTGTTTTGGTGTTATCTTTACCTATTGGCAAAAGTTTAAGGCATTCCCTTAAACCAGTATAGGATAGGTATGGGTAAGAATCAAGAAGCATCATTTCATATTTTACTAGCTGAATAAATTTTGATGCAAGATGTTCTATTCAATGATTTTGGCCTGTATTAAGGCGTCTTCAGATGGGCTTGTTTTCTTCATCTGTCTTTGAGATTTTCACTATGGATTTGAATTCTTTTTAGCATTATGAAATTACTTTTCTCAAGAAAAGCCTCGGTGAACTTCCCTATCTCCAACATCGATTTGCTGCCGAATGTTGTTTTTTAAGAATTTGAAGGTTGATTTGTCAGTATCTATAACTAGGTTTTACTTTGCTGAATATAGACAGAAGCATGGTTCTCGCAATGAATCTAAGAAGTATTCTTCCGTTTCCTTATTAATACGTGAATGAAGGTATCTGGGACCCTTCATAGGTGTTTCTCTCCACAGTGCACCAGTAAACTGTCACAGAAAACTCTTGTTGGGTTGCCAACAGGAAGTTGCATTTGTTAGGGAAGAAAAAGGATTCTATCATAGTGAGTAATTATCTATATATGTGCACATGGTCAACTGCTTAATCAATTATAATAAAATGATGTTTTAAGCGGTCAAGGGTCCTTAAGATACAACTGGCAATTGACCTATGAAACGAGGGCAATAGGAAGTCTAGTCTGCGACCATTAAAAAAAGGAAGAAGAAAGAAGAAGAGAAGAAAGATTAATGCCTAGAAGGGACAAATAACTTCATATAGGAGGCAACTACACATTCACACAATTTTCATCTTTGGTTCTACTTAATCCAGTCTCTTGTTAGCGAAAGTAACGTGTAAACTGACTCCATCAAAAGAACCTTGATAGAATGTACCACTATCATGGCATGATTTCCTCCATCTTATTAAGCTCATAGTCAACAATGCGTATAATATTTTTTTTTGACAGAATATCCAAATTTAATTTGGATCTCAAGGCTGATCTCCTAGATCCACTTTCATAAAATCATAATCTAAGATTGAGGTAAGCTAGTTCGCAGACAGGTCAGGTAAGTCTATTTTGAGATTGAGATCAGCCACGATTTGGTACAATCAAGTTGAAATTTTTAATTAGTTTTTGTAGACAACAGTTTCTGAGTACTAGTCTATAGAAAGTGCAATTTCTATCACTTTATTTGCCACAGCTGATTAATATCCCTTCTCTATTTCTCCAAAGAAAATGAGTTCAGAGGCACCAAGCTGGGCTGATCAATGGGGCTCAAGCGGAGCCGATAACTATGAGAATGGAGGCGGAGGCAAGCAAGAAAGTAACAAAGGGAAGAAGATGGCGGGTGTGAAGGCTGCTGCTTCCACTGGCCTCGGCAAGGCTAAGGTTGCTGCTACTGTCGGAGCACAGAAGGTGAAGACTGGCACTAGTGTCGGTATCAACTGGGTCAAGAACCAGTATCAGAAGAGGACCTCCAAATGAAAAAAGATGTAGCTTTGACATATATAGGTGTCATGAAAATTTCTTGTCAGTTCATAACTTTCTTATGTTTATACTTGATGGGATTGTAAGAAAATTTGTTTGGTATTATCCTTGGCTGTCTGAAAAATCAAAATAAGAAGTCATTCTTAGTTTTAGCTATTGTTTCTTTCAGCTTTTAATGCTTTTTTTGACTTCTAATACTTATTGATGGTCTGAAGAAGGCTAACAGATGGTCGAAAGAAGGCTAATAGAAGGGAAGAGATATAATATGATGAGAACAGATAGATGGTCTCAGGCTTATGTTAAAGAGTAGAAAGAGGCAACACAAGAATGAAAATGCTGCTTTACGAAATCACTGCTATTTGTATCATTTTTTATTCAAAGATTATTCATAATAAAATTCAAATACAACAAAAGAAAGAGGTAGATAAGATGCCCCTAAAGAAAGACATGTCATGTGACGCTCCATAAACTCCAAATTCAAGTTGTCTTAGGCCATACGATAAGCACACATGCGTATAAGTGAAATTGCAAAGAGAGTAAACTAGCTCTAGTTTGAATCTCCTCATTTGATGAAACATATATTTATTCGTCCAAAAATAATTGATGACCATAAGTAATTAAAGAAGAGCATTTACACATGAAAATAAATAAAGTCCACAAATTAGTTCTAATTCTCTTAGACAAAATGGCAAACACATGTGGTGCGTTGTTATGGAATCATGAAAGATAGAAGTAGCTTTGGAATCACTTTGTAGGGTGCAAAAATATGTTTCATCAGTAAATAATACTAAATAAATGTATATTTATTTAAACCAAGGGAAAGCTAGTGAGTATAATAAGAACTTTATCAATCCAATCCAAGTACTTAGTTACGTCAGTTACTACTGGGGAGTTCTTTAAGGATGAAAACCAATTATTATGCGTGCGTGTGCGTGTGCGTGTGCGTGTGTGTGTGTAAATTATCAATTACAACTGGGGAGCGGTCCCTGTGGAAAATGGTAAGCTTTTTTAGTTATGTTCATAACCAGAAACCTACTGGTTTCACAATCGCGGTCTTAAAGCTTGTTAAACCCAAAAGTCAAAAGCATGAGATTCAAGAATATACACCAAATTGTTCTCACGTTTGTATCTACAGAGAGTAGTGACCATTCACTGAGAATGACTCAAATGCGTTCTCCCCACTGCTTGTCATGTAGAGGAAGCAATATTCATTCTTATTTTCTTCATAAATTGCAGACATCATCGCTGCCAGAACAACATTTGTTTAGGATAAATACAATACAAAGGAAATCAACTTCAATAATGTAGGAGAAAGGGGATTTATTTCTCACCTGTTTGTGGCAAAGTGTTCTTGCCAAAAATTTAAAAAAAAAAAGCCTTCACAGCTTTTAGCTTGATCCTCTACCGAGCAACACAGACAAACTGAGAAACAGTTAGATCAGCCAGAACAAGATACCTGCACCATCAAACTACCGCTCTTAGTTAACAAAAGTGATACAAGAGAGGAAATAGAAGCATTGGGAACAAGAAAAAAGTGCACAAAAGGTTCAGCATCGATTCATAACATCTCAGTCATCTTCTGTGTAACTTCCGTAAATCTCATAGTAAATTGGATGGTTTAACACGAAGCGAACATAAGAGTCCAAGAGCACTTGTGGTACAGAGCAGATAACTCCAAAATTTAATGTATTTGATATGAAAGCACTACGTCCTAGAAGCCACCTTAAAACCAGGGTTAGAGTAGTTATACGAAAATCACTTTTCATTTTCAATTTATATATAACCACCTTTAAAGTTGGTCTTTGTTGCAATCAACCACCTCCAAGCCAAATGTGTCACTACCCATAAGTACCCTTCAAAAACTCCCAAAAGTACCCTTCAAAAACTCACATTCAAAGATGTAACTGGTTCTTTTACTGCTGAGGTCTAGTTAGGATACAACTCACGTACCTTAAACTTAAACTTTTTAAGCTTATTTTCTGTTTTTTTAGCAAAAAATTGGCTAGGAGGTGACTGATTGCCACAAAGAAAGGTGGTTTATGTACAAATTGAAAATGTAAGATGATTTCCGTATATTTACCCTATTTTAAAGGTAATTTCTAGAAGAAAACAAAATTCCCCAAAAAAGGAGGGGTTTTTTTAATTTTTTTAAGGATAAAATAAACAATACAATTATTTGACACAATAACTAGTGCAAGAATTATCAGTTGTAACACAAGATACTTATTAGATTGCAAATTGTAGTGATGAAAAAAATAACTCTGAATTTTAGAGAAGCACCATGCACTTTAAATGTCCAAATTTTTTTTTTGAGGCATAAGAAATAAAATGCCTCGAGGTTGATTGTGGCAAAGAAGTAAAAATTAAGATGCACTAAGAACAAGTGGAGTGGAACTAAAAATCATAACTTACTTCTTATCAATGTCCGGGATATCACTCCTGTCTGGTTTCTCAATAACCACCTACATTCAATTGTGCTTCATGTTATTTTAAAATCATGAATTATGCAATATATAAAAAGATCAAATGCAGTAATATTTACAGGAATGCTATCAGGATATTTGTCTCTAATATGAGCAGCTTCTACCTGCCTCCTTTCTGAATTGCTGGCTCCTATCTGATAAGTCAACTTATCTTGAAGTACTTCCTAATGAGAGAGATACTGGAAGCCTCTAATTTACATTGATATAGTCTTACTTTTTGCACTTCTTCAAGAATAAACGTCTCATTCTTAAGAGATACAACCTATCTATTCCAGAAGTTCATATTTCATCTGCCAATTAAAGAAAATCCATTTTTTTAACTGTTTCAGGGCTTTATAAAGTATGCTTCAGTACACATCTCTCTTTTGTTCTCAAGTGAGTTAAATAATCTTGACTGGAGAAATAAGTCCAATTATCACCTCCTTCACCAATGTGCAAAAGATGTATTAGACTATTGATACACTTTCAGCAACTAACCTAGGGACCTTAGTATTCATATATGGCTGAAATCTCAGATGACATAAACCTGGAAACAAGAAAATTAGAAAAACTGCAGAATAATAATTTACCGAGTTAAGACTCCATTATTTGACTATGACTAATATCACAAGCTACGTCGTTGATAGATTTGTATTTATGCTTGCATAGGTGAAGAAGCACACAACATCTATCAGTTAAGTTTCCCCTAATAAAATGGCTCTTCCCTTGTGACATACTGCTGTTCAAAGGAAAAATACATGTTCAAGTCACTTTAGCAAAACCCTCCTTTTTGCTTCAATTTGTTAGTTAGAGAACAAAAACGTATATACTAGCAACTGCTGATTTCAACTCGACCATTTGCTTTTCACTGACATATTGTGGCACCCATATTTCATCAAGCTTGTACCTTTTTTACTTTCCTCGATTCTAACCATAGTAAACATGCTTCTTTCTAATACTTGCTGAATTTTACCTCCTATACCCAGCAATTAAAGTACTGAACGGTTTCCTATGCTTGTAACTCGCCAAAAACAAATAGTGTCGGGAGTTTCTAGCAGTATATATCTTGGCTAGTAGGCTTTTACTTAAATTGACATGATACATACAGTGTGGAATATTTGAAAAAACTAATAATCGTGATGCATGCTGGACCATACACATCAGCATTATATTTAAACGCAAGACAGCATATAGCGCATAAAATAGGCAACACAGTATTACAATACATATATAATGCATGTAGAACATATGAACTAATAACAAAACAATGCGCTAGTAAACCAATCATTCATGTTCCTAAGATAACATCAGAACTGCGAACTGACAGCATTCTACAACTCACAAAATAAATATGAAAAACCTTCACCAAGGAAAGCATGTGGTTTTTTTTCATGAAATTTACCTTGTATGGACTATGACACAATATAAAATTCTTAAAAACTAGGATACAATAAAAAGGGAGATAACACACCAGCTCATTATCTTTCACCCAATTATTGCAAGGGAACAAGATCAATCTTCATTAAAATTGAATTGGTTAGCTAACTCGCACTTAGTTGGTGGAAATTATCCAAATACGTAGGATGGAAAGAAAATTTAAACTTTTCCAAATTCAATCTTCATTAAAATTGGAATGTGTTTGCTAACTCGCTCTTGGTTTCAATGTTACCAATTTACCATGATGTTCAGCCTTCTGACGTCAGTCAAACAATTGGAGACCTGAAGACAGTTTATAACTATAACAATAGCACAATTCTATGAAAACACTGGAGCTTTCATATGGAAGATATTAAAACTAGATTGTGTACAAAGCGTCAAGTGTTATTTTGCCTAGACACTTGACACTTGTATCCCCTGTCCATGTACAGGTGCTTGATGGTGTGATGGTGTCTAGAGTCAGAATGGTGCATCTCTAGGAATCTTCAATCAACCTAAGAAAAAGCCCATTAACTCTTTAGACTACAATTATCCTCTCACAATCTAAGAGACCATCATAAGTACATACAAAAATAGTGAGTGGAAAAATAGCTATGAATTTTCTTGTCCATACGAGAGATAGATTACTCTAATTAATTTCCCAATTTTAGGTTGAAGAGGCATTTGAATTGCATAATGAAAAAAACAAAATTTCAAATCTAATCTGATTAGGCCTGAAGTATCCTCAAAATTGAAATGAATTTCTCGTTGCCTTGCTCGGTAACTCCTATTCAAAAGAATCTATTACCAGTGTGCAATAGCCAGCAGCTTATCAAGAATCAAACAACATGACAATAGTAGGTTCATAGATACCATCATTGAGATTTGTAAAGGCTACAAACGAAGTAAAGAAAAGGCAATACATATGTGGTTGTTGATTCAATTAAAAAATTAAATTATCATAGTACCAGGTACACTATAATTACTTTATCCAAGAAATCATTAACAAAACAGATACAGCCTAGACTCAACTTTTGTCACTCCATTACCCATACATATGATGGTATTTATCATTGCGAGAAGTTAAGTTGAAATAACTAACTTAGCTTGACAGAATATGCATGAGAAGAAATTGACATGGAGGAACTTTGTGGCATTCTGAAATGGATAAGACTAAAATGACAGATATTAGTCGCCTCATTTGCAGAGGAAATAGACAAATGAATAACTATCTGAATGCAACTACAACTTAAACAAGTTATCGACGTGGTGCAAGTC